TTTAATAGTGTTTAAAAAGTGAGAACAGGTGATTTAGTGAATCTTTGTCGGTGTAATTGCCCATAGAAAACAACGAAATTTAACAAAAGTTTTTTGTTCATAACTTTTAAATGGTTAATAATATTAGTTCCCCCCCTCCGGATTGTTATTAGGGGGGCCGAAACGCGTCGTTTGGTACCCCTCCCGACTTTTCCGCACCTTTTTTAGGGGTTGTTACCCCACCCTAGAGAATTACCCAAAAGAAATGTGGTTGTTTACGAGATGTAGATGGCGCCAGGGTTACACAACCTAGCATCGCATCTCCACAGGAAAAAAAAAATTGGGTAAAATTTTTCATTTTGTTTGCCAGATATACTCAGTGCACTTGCAAAATATTCGTATTCGCAAAAGATCCGCATTGATATTTGCGAATGGTAAAGCGAAAGCGAATGTTAAAATTAATGCGGAAGTTCCGCAGTTGCGAATGCGAATGCGAATATTCGCAACAACCCTGTTTGTAACGTCATTCTTGTTACCACTTTTGAAGATTGGCGTAACATATGATTTTTTCCAGTCCTGTAAGAATAGCCCAGACGTGAGCGATTTATTAAAAATTAAAGCTAATGGCTTACTTAGGGAGTGGCAATTTTTTAACAAAATAGGGCATAAACCATCAGCATCAGTTTGCATTGAGGGCTTAATAGAAATAATCGGTTTTTGAACATCATCCACTGTTATGGACAAAGAACCAAAGAATAAAGGGGAATTTGAAAAATCCGACCTATACGGCACACTATCAGTGTCAGATACAAAATTGGTACTAAAAAATTCGGCAAAAAGGTTAACCGTATCGTCCGCAGATTTCGCTTGCTTATCATTATAAAACACAAAGGACGGTATACCCGAATTCGATTTTTTAGATTCAATATAGGCCCAGAAAGCTTTCGGGTTGTTTTTGATGTTACTTTCGAAGTTACGAATATAACGATTATGCAAAATTTTGTCTAGATTCCTAAAATCAGCTAAACGGCGTTTATAGATTTTAAAATGTTCGGTACTATTTGAAACTTCATACTTATTGTATGACTTACTACAACGGTTTTTAAAACGTTTAAGCTCCTTAGAGAACCACGGTAGCTTGTAATTCTTAACCGATAAAATAGGAATATGTTCAAAGCAAATATCATTAAGTTTAGATTTAAAAAGTTGAAAACGCTAGTTGTATCTAAAATAGCAAACATAGCATCCCAGCCCAACTCAAAACACAAATTGTTTAACAGCGTCACCAGCAGGAGTGTTACTTAAAAATTTGTAAAATTCTAGGTTTAAAACTAATGGAACATGATGCATACAAGCGGAAGTAGTCGGCGAACAACACTCTAAAAGGTGAAAGTTTAAGTTACCAGATAGGAAAATTAAATCTAATATTCAGTTGCACTTATTCGTATAACTGTTAACTTGATTTAAATCATAACTTAAAAAAAGTATGAATAAAGTATACTTCAGTAGAACTAAATATATTAGATGGCGTTAGAAAGTATGAGCTATCAAGTAAGACCACGAAACATTATTTAAATTAAAATCTCCAAGTACACATAAATTTTGACTTCCGACCATAGATTGCATTGTCGAAATGCGAGTTATAAAGCTGTTCCGAACTATTAGGAGGAATGTAGGATGCACAAATAAATAAGTTATCCGAAGAACCAAGCAGTCGAACACATAATTGATCCAGTATAGTCATTATTAATGAGGCAAACTAAAGCTGCACGAAGTTTACGCTTTGTGGCAATTAGAACACCGCCACCACGGTTAAGCCCAGTTTTAACGGGGTATCTGTCTTTCCGAAATACGTCAAACAGATTTGAATCAAAGAATTCCGAGTCGTAAAAATTTTAATTGAGCCAAGATTCTGTTAAAACGAAAACGTCAAACATCTCTGAGGAGCTAAACGTACGTACAGCAGTCGCTTTAGTTCTCATACCCGACATATTTTGATAGTATATGCGAATGANGCCAGGGTTACACAACCTAGCATCGCATCTCCACAGGAAAAAAAAAATTGGGTAAAATTTTTCATTTTGTTTGCCAGATATACTCAGTGCACTTGCAAAATATTCGTATTCGCAAAAGATCCGCATTGATATTTGCGAATGGTAAAGCGAAAGCGAATGTTAAAATTAATGCGGAAGTTCCGCAGTTGCGAATGCGAATGCGAATATTCGCAACAACCCTGTTTGTAACGTCATTCTTGTTACCACTTTTGAAGATTGGCGTAACATATGATTTTTTCCAGTCCTGTAAGAATAGCCCAGACGTGAGCGATTTATTAAAAATTAAAGCTAATGGCTTACTTAGGGAGTGGCAATTTTTTAACAAAATAGGGCATAAACCATCAGCATCAGTTTGCATTGAGGGCTTAATAGAAATAATCGGTTTTTGAACATCATCCACTGTTATGGACAAAGAACCAAAGAATAAAGGGGAATTTGAAAAATCCGACCTATACGGCACACTATCAGTGTCAGATACAAAATTGGTACTAAAAAATTCGGCAAAAAGGTTAACCGTATCGTCCGCAGATTTCGCTTGCTTATCATTATAAAACACAAAGGACGGTATACCCGAATTCGATTTTTTAGATTCAATATAGGCCCAGAAAGCTTTCGGGTTGTTTTTGATGTTACTTTCGAAGTTACGAATATAACGATTATGCAAAATTTTGTCTAGATTCCTAAAATCAGCTAAACGGCGTTTATAGATTTTAAAATGTTCGGTACTATTTGAAACTTCATACTTATTGTATGACTTACTACAACGGTTTTTAAAACGTTTAAGCTCCTTAGAGAACCACGGTAGCTTGTAATTCTTAACCGATAAAATAGGAATATGTTCAAAGCAAATATCATTAAGTTTAGATTTAAAAAGTTGAAAACGCTAGTTGTATCTAAAATAGCAAACATAGCATCCCAGCCCAACTCAAAACACAAATTGTTTAACAGCGTCACCAGCAGGAGTGTTACTTAAAAATTTGTAAAATTCTAGGTTTAAAACTAATGGAACATGATGCATACAAGCGGAAGTAGTCGGCGAACAACACTCTAAAAGGTGAAAGTTTAAGTTACCAGATAGGAAAATTAAATCTAATATTCAGTTGCACTTATTCGTATAACTGTTAACTTGATTTAAATCATAACTTAAAAAAAGTATGAATAAAGTATACTTCAGTAGAACTAAATATATTAGATGGCGTTAGAAAGTATGAGCTATCAAGTAAGACCACGAAACATTATTTAAATTAAAATCTCCAAGTACACATAAATTTTGACTTCCGACCATAGATTGCATTGTCGAAATGCGAGTTATAAAGCTGTTCCGAACTATTAGGAGGGATGTAGGATGCACAAATAAATAAGTTGTCCGAAGAACCAAGCAGTCGAACACATAATTGATCCAGTATAGTCATTATTATTGAGGTAAACTAAAGCTGCACGAAGTTTACGCTTTGTGGCAATTAGAACACCGCCACCACGGTTAAGCCCAGTTTTAACGGGGTATCTGTCTTTCCGAAATACGTCAAACAGATTTGAATCAAAGAATTCCGAGTCGTAAAAATTTGAATTGAGCCAAGATTCTGTTAAAACGAAAACGTCAAACATCTCTGAGGAGCTAAACGTACGTACAGCAGTCGCTTTAGTTCTCATACCCGACATATTTTGATAGTATATGCGCATGAACGAAAGACACAAGATCACGTAAGAACAAGAGAGTGAAAGTCAATTTTTTTAGTGGGTTCTACGCCATCTTGTTTCACTGGAAAACGAGCGAAAAGTAAACAAAGCAAAGAAAACAACGAAAACCAAAATTTACCAAAATTATTGTCAGCCACTTTAAACGCACAATTTAGGTAAAATGATGCAACAAAATGCTTTAAAATGTGTTGTCTTGTTGAATTAACTCTTCTTTACTTGAATAAAAGTGTAAAATAGTGGTGCTTGTGATGTAAACAAACGCTCAGCTGACGAACCCGCTTTCGCAAACTTTCTTCTCAAAACCAGTTACAAATACAACGTCGCGTTCTTACGTGATCTTGTATATTTGGTTCATGGTATATGCGAATGCAAGAATGATAGAATACAAGAATGCGCCGTCCTGGGCGTTGACATTTGTGTACCACAAGTAAACAAAGAATAGAGCGAAAAGAAGAACCAGTTGAACTGCCAAAGCAGTTCACCTTACAGCGAAAAAACGTGTTTTAATTTTGCTAAATGCGAAAATATTGCATTTTTCACCTAATCTATTAGAGAACTGTGAACATTTTAGTGCACTCCATTGCTTTGCAATTTAGGCTGCTTCAGCAAACGTTTTAGTGCACTCCATTGCTTTGCAATTAAGGCTGTTGCAGAAAACTGCAGCAGCATCTCT